GACCTCAACACCACTGACTGTGTTTGGTATTATTTGGATTGTGAGAAGCAGAAAATGCAACCAACATGCAAAGACTGAACTTTGGAGATGTGAAAAAATATCCCTGCAGATTTCTTTGAAAAACTGAAAGCAAGTCTTCTGGAAAAAGAATAGAAGCTGTAATAAAAAACAAAGTGTGGACTAAAAATATTGTATAAAAAATTGATATTATATTTAGTTGTTAAAGCTTAGTTGTTTTCCTCCTTTTTGATGCTGAAAAATGAATATCTTGCACTTAATGGCTGTTTCAACTGTAAAGAAAGTAAATGAGGGGTGGTTTCTGACTTCTGCACTATTTAAGTTATTCTTGACTGAAACACCAAACTTGGTAAACTGCGTAGTGAATCTGAGGCGTAGTGAACGCCTGAGCAGTAGCATTTGGCAGTGCTTGAGTCTTGGCTCAGTCAGTGAAAAGACTTCATGGAATGTTTGACATGTTTATTCTTTCATACATCACTCTACATTATTTTTATGCTACGCTTGGGTGATAAAAGAGAACAATGACGCCAGGCAAGCCGACGTGCCCCAACCTCCCCGGCTCCTCTGTCCCCAGGCAGCCTTTGACACCCAAAAACTGTACGCTGCTGCTGTTCGTGCTGTTGATGTTGTTTGACGCCACAGCAAAGAATCATAAAGGCCTTGGTGAAATGGAGCTTGTGCCAATATCACTCACTGGGGCATCATTAGTTTGAATTATTGATATCTACAGGGCCGTGAATCTCAGCTTACAGTACTGAAAAACTCAATAAAAGTGTTTTGATATCACTGACATACAGTTGCTTGCAAAAGTTCATGATGCTCGCAAGCCTCGCAAGCCTGTCAGTGTCATAGCCAGCCAACAGCAGGTCACTACAATATGTTATGTTTTGGATGTTGGTGTGCTGGTGAGAAGCAATGGAAGCTGCTATACTGATGCTGGTTGAAGCTGGGTGACTAGCTAAACCAGCACCAGACCAGCATAGACCAGCGTAAACTAGTGTAGACCAGGAATTCATGGTGGTCTGTGCTGTTTTTTTTAGCAGGGAAATGTCATGGTATTTTGATAACTATGAAAATATTATATGATATTGAAGTGAAAAGAAAAAGAAAAGTATAATTTTTAGACTAAGTCAGGTGGACAGGAGGTGGTGAAACTGCTTCTGAAACATAAGCTGTGTTGTTGTAATGGTGGATACACCTGGAAAGCAGGTTTACAGTCAATCATGTGCTACAGATTTTTCATGGACATGTTGTTGATCGCAGTGATTTGTGGAGGGGATTTTTATGAGGACAGCATGTTTTTTAAAGACCATTTTACTGTAATATTGACCTATTTACTTGCTCTGAGAATAAACCTCTTCTGGAGCAATACGTCCTGTTTTTTTCAGTTAAATTGAGGTAAAAACATATACACTATATGGTCAAAAGTATTGGGACACTTACACATTATACCTACTGGAGATTTTATGACATCCCATTCTAACTCCTTAGGTATTGATATGGAGTTGGTCCCCCCTTTGCAGCTAATACAAATTCCACTTTAATAGATGAATAGATGACAAGGTTTTGGAGTGTGTCTGTGGGATTTTTTGCCCATTCATCCAGAAGAGCATTTCTGAGGTCAGACACTGAAGTTGGACGAGAGGGCCTGGCTCACAATCTCCGTTCTAGTTCATCACAAAGGTGTTTGATGGGGTTGAGGGCAGGGCTCTGTGAGGGCCAGTCAAGTTCTTTAACACCAAACTCACCCAGCCATGCCTTTATGGACCTTGCTTTGTGCACTGGGGCTCTGTCATGCTGGAACAGAAAAGGGCCTTCCCCAAACTGTTCACACAGAGTTAGAAGCATAGAATTGTCCAAAATGTCTTGGTATGGTGAGGCATTAACCTCCACTGGAACTAAGGGGTCTAGGTCAACCCCTGAAAAACAACCCCACAGCATTATCCCTCCTCCACCAAACTTTACAGGTGGCACAATGCAGTAAGGCAGGTAATGTTCTCCATTCAGACAGATCAGACAGATAGAGAAGCATGATTCCTCACTCCACAGAATATTGCGTTTTGATCTTAGGCTTGTGTGCAGCTGTTCAGCCATGGAAACCCATTTTGTGAAGCTCCTAATGCACAGTTCTTTTGGTGATGTTGCTTCCAGAGGCAGTTCGGAACTGGTTAGTAAGTAATTCAAGAGAAGATAGGCACTGTGCGCCTCAGCACTTGGTGACCCCACTCTGTGAGTTTGAGTGGTCTACTGCGTCATGGCTAAGCTATTGTTGCTCTTCGCTGCTTCCATTTCACAAAAATAGCACTTACAGTTGACAGGGGCAGATCTAGCAGGACAGAAATTTCACAAACTGACTTGTGGCAAAAGTGACATTTTACGACAGTGCCATGTCACTGAGCTCATCAGTACAACCCATTCTACTGCCAGTGTTTGTCTATTGAGATTGCAAGGCTATGTGCTTTAGTTTTATCCACCCGTTAGC